TTCTTTAAGGCGATTCTTCTCAGAGCCTGGACCACAGGGATCACAGGTTCTTCACTAGGTTTCAGGTCAGAGAGTTTGACCTCAGAGCCAAACCCTGCATGGTTAGGAGTATGCATTTCCCTTTGTCTGGCAGGGATATTTGTATTTATCAAACTGTTCCCCCATTTATATAGTCTCATGTTTTTATAGCTTATGTTGTATTGTTGGTTATTTCAAGTTGCTTTAAGAAATAGTGTGTCAATAAATAACAAAATCTGTATTCTACTTAGTGAACTGAACATACGAAACTCTTGCAAATGGGTGTATACCCTAATTCCACCACTGCCACCACAGCTATTTTTTTCAGAACACAACGTGAAGAAGTTAGTTCATGTTGACCCACCCTGACCCTTTAAACGGACACAGCCCATCTGTATCTATGCATGTGGGAATTTGTAACCCGCCCCCCCCCCCACAAGGGATGACAGCAACCGTATAATAGAACACATGTGAAAATGGCATTTTAGCCAAAATGCATTTCTTCCTGTTCACCAGGAAGGACTCATAAGAAAGCAATCCTCTAAATATGACAAACATGAAAAAGGCAGTTTTCAGAGCTCAAACTTGCATAAGTTGGAATAAAATCCACTTAGGGAAAGAACCCAATACATGCTACAAGCATAGTCAAAGTTTCTCTTGGCATTCCCATGGTGATAGGCACGAGGCCATCTAGACACTGTGGGAGGGGGAGATTTTAAGCACAAACCTCCTGTGCCCCAGAAAACTAGCCAGGATAAGAATCACATGACACAAGGACAGTAACTCAAATGCCTTTGGGGCTGGGATAAATGACTGAAGCAAGCCAGTTTCAGGTAGCTCAAACCCAGGTTTGCTCTGTAGAAATGTGGACCCAAGATTGCTTGATCTCTCAGTTTCAAGAAAAGCCGGATTTCCAGACTTTTATGTGAATTATCCCTATTAAGGAATGTTGGTAACTAATTTAAAAATTTGTAAACACTACTCCAGCAAATGCACCTAAGGTCCCTACTTTGCACCTCTGAGCTCAGAGAAGATGCTTTGAAGGATGCTTGTTGCTTCGTTTACATCCAAGAGACCACACTAGTCAGAAATCCTTTTAACAACGTGAAGAGAAGCCTCTGAGAACGCTTCAGCTCTTCCCACTCACCAGAGAACCCACATGGTAGAAAACCCCCATTTCTTCCTCTTCCATGCCTCTCCCATTTAGCTCGGCACCCCCCTGCCAGCCCTGCCTGCCACCACCCCATCCAGTCACCTGCCATTTTGACACACTCAGCCCCCTTGGACTGTTCCACTGCATGTCCTCAGGCCCCCACCCTATGATCCAAGATTGTCCTCTTCCCTCTGGCCCCTTGGAAGCCCCCAGCCTCTCTGCTGCCTGCTGACCTCCCACCAGGGGAGACCACTGGACAAAAGATGGGGAGAACTGGCTCTCTCAGAATAGAGCCACCATTCATTTTAATAATAACCATGATTAATGGGTATTTGCAGACTGTATGACACTTATCCAAGTGTGTATGCATTCATCATTTCATTTTATTCACACAACCTTCAGACACAGAGCGGGCCTTCTAACCGTTTTACTATCATGGGAACTGGGGACAATGCAACAGGAGGACAAAGCAAGTGTCCTGCTCATCACCAGCCACCAAGAGGATACTGTGCATGCAATGAGTTGTGACTTTTTGGGAAACTCCCTGGGCATCTCTTCCAGGAGAAGTCTTTGACAGAAGGATAGGTATCTGTGTTCTTAGAGAGGGGGACTGGAGCTCTGAGGTCATGAAGACAGGTCAGCCCATCTTGGTTCCAGCCACAGACATCATGCTGACTTTCTGTCACTCCACCTCGGCCAACTGTGTGAGTCCAAATGGAGAGTGACACAGCTCTGATGTACCAGGGAGCTCCTCACCATCTCTATAGGGGAGGACGGATGCTCTAACAGAGCTTCTTCCATCATCTCAACCAATGTAGGATTCATGGGGATTCATGAATGGATCTCTGCCAATATTTCTGTGTTTTCTCTTTGGGTAGTTATTCCCCAACCTAACCTTCAGGACTCCCCGACTCTAAAACCATAAAGACCAAATTCACTGGAGTAGCTTCAAGGTCCTTCGGAAGCTGGTCAACCTGTTATTCTAGTTTCACATTCTTCCTCCTCCCCTGACCTCTCCTATCTCACATGCCCCATAGTCCATGCACCTGCTCCAGCTACACTAACAAATCCCTAATTCCCAGTTATGCTTTTGCTAATGTTATTCCCTTTGCCCGAGTCCTTTCCCCCAAAACCTTGGCCCGCAAACCCCCAATCCACCCCCAAAAACCAAACCAAAAGGCCAATCCCCCAAAAAAGCCTCTCCAACTCCCCTGCCTACAGAGTTTTCTTTTCTTTCCTGTGAACTTGCACAGAATATGGCCCACACCTATTACCTTATATTTATTATAAGTATTACTTATCTGTACCCCTTGCTTGACTGTCACCCCTTGAGAGTCTTCTCTTCATATCTCAAGCTGCTCCTGGCACGTGGTGGATAACCAAAATGTATTTGCTGAATGAGAGAGAAAGACATCTGACAGTAATACACTCACATTAAAAATATCAATCAAGTGTTAGGTGCCTTATTATTTTTAATCTTTCACACCCACCTTGTGAGTTAGATTTTATAATCACGGAGCACAGAGAGGTTGAATAACTTGCCCAAGGACACACAGCTAGTAGTTGAGGAGCAGAAATTTGAGCACAGAGCCCAAGGAACGTCTTCTCAGGGATCTGGCTTTGGGATCCTACATAAAAGCGTCCTTTCTGCAAGGGAAGCAACACAATGTTCCCCTGGCTGGACTCTCACTCAGAGACTTCTCCAGTTCATGCGGCCTTACGTTTGGGGCCAAAGGAGGAAAGAGATGCAAATGAAAATGGGCAAAGCTGGTTTCACTGAAAGTTGTGAGATTTAAGAAGTCCAGACAGCACCGTACAGGACCCATTTAACAAGGTGTAATATTTGAAGAGGAGAGAGGGCCTCCTCCCCACCTAGTGAGGAACCAACATCTGCGCACCGAGAGCTTGAGAACACAGCCCAGCCCTGGCTCTCTGAGGCTCCAGCCCATCGGCAGCCCCAGGCCATGGCTTCTGCGGGGCCAGCGGAGGTAAGAACCCTTAATGCCCAGGGGCTCCAGAAGGACTTGGCTTCCCAGGGAAAGTGGCTGCAGGAAGCAGCACCAACAGCGGGAGGCGGCGGTGACCCGCTCGGAGGATTAGAAGGCAGGCCTTTTTTTTTTTTTAAATTTCAGGATATTATGGGGGCAGGCCTTTGGCAAGGGCAGCGGCATTCAGAGGGCCCTGGCAGCAGCGGCAGCACAGGCCAGTCCGCGGGCGGAGAGGAGCAGGAGGAAAATGGCTGGGGCCGGCTTAAGTTGATGAAGGGACATCTGAGAAAACCCCTGGGGAGTCTCCCAGACTTGACTGGGAACCATTCTGGGATGAAAATACCACAATAGCAGGCGGTACAAGAACCAGAGAGATGCTGACTATCGCTGTTAACATGGTCCCATTCTTACCTCCTGTCCCCTTCAGCCCGGGAAAACAGGTTGAGGTGCATTTTTACAGATCTTATCCCATATTGCTTTTATTTCATTCATTCATTTATTCACTCAACAAATATTCATTATAACCCTGACGTGGTTTTACAATCCACACACCATCCGCAGCATACACACATACGAGTGACACAAAACTTCTCCAACCTAGGATGTAATGACTTTCATTTCAACGGTTATTTACTTGGCAGTTGTGAAATGATACCTCAAAAATCTAAGGACTACTCCAGAACTGTTGTTCTAATTTCAGAAATATATAGTTATTTAGATAAACATGTTTACAAAGTAACAAAAAATTAAGCTTCAAACCATTACCCATGGAACAAATCACCTTTACTGCAATGTCAAAATCACCCAAAGGGACTGTCACTGAATAGCAGGCGTGTGTGGGTGCCACCACCTTTTCTCCGGCCTTCGTTGTCCCCCAGCCAGGCGGGGCACAGCCTGCGGACTCCGCACCATCCTTTTCCTGCGTTGTCAGTGAGAATAACAAGGGACAGCTTGCAGTTTCCCTGGACTTCGTGAGTGAAAAGTGGGCCGTGTTAAGCTTGAGTGAATGTCTGTTGGGTAATAAAAGGAGAAACTGCCTTTTTTTTTTTCTTTTTTTCCCTGAGTCATCTAAATAAACTGTATTTGTGCATTATTCACAATAGCCAAGGTACGGACACAGTCTAAGCATCCCGGGAAGGATGAATGGATAAAGACAATGTGAAAAAATTAATATACACACAATAGAATATTATTCAGCCTTTTAAAAAAAGGAAATCCTGCCGTTTGCAACAACATGGGTGAACCTGGAGAACACTGTGCTACGTGAAATAGGCCAGGCTGAGAAAGGCAAATACCGCGTGATCTCACTTACATGTGGAATCTAACAAGGGTCGAACTCACAGAAACAGAGAGTAGAGTGGTGGTTGCCGAAGGCTGGGGGATGGGGAAATGGGGAGATGCTGGTCAAAGGGCACAAACTTTCAGTTATAGCAATAAGATGAATAAGTTCTGGTGATCTGATGTGCAGCATGGTGACTGTAGTTTATAATAATGTACTGTTTTCTTCAAATTCGCTAGGTATTCTCACCACACACACAAAAGGTGTCTACGTGAGTTGGTGGATATATTCATTAGCTCAATGGTGGTAATAACTAAGCTAATAATATAATTTCACAGTGTATATGTTTATCAAAACATCACATTGTACAACTTGAATATATACAATTTTTGCTTGTCAGTGATACCTCAATAAAGCTGGGGCGGGGGAACCAAACTGCATTCATCCCCTTATCAAGATGCTCTGAGCGTCGTGATGCTGGAATCAACGTTCCAGCTCAGCCCCGGGAAGCTCCCAGCAGCGCAAGCCTGACTCTGTCTGTGTTTTTGTTCTAAACCAGCAGGGCCCTCCCACCGCAGGAATCTCCTGCAGTCCACCCACGATAGTCCTGACGGGGGATGCCACTTCACCAGAAGGAGACGCTGACAAAAACCTGGCCAACAGGTACACATGCCAGGTGCCGCATCCTTGTGCTGTGATGAACAATATTTCCTAGAATGTGGGGATCAGACAACTATATTTTTTATAAATCTTTTCTTCTTTCTTGTATCATTTTATGGATTAAAATCCAGTCAAGCAGTTTTTCAAAATGGGAGAGTTGGGGATTTTTCCATTAACTTCCTCCCAAAATGGTATTTCCTCTCCTGGATTTGGCCCTTTGCACTCTGCCAGCCTTTAACAAAAGCATAAAGCACAGCAGGGGAGTTTCCCATAATAACTGCCCAGATGTTTGCAGATGAACCTGAAAGGTGAGAGCCTTTGACTGGAGAGTCCTGCCCCTGGCCAAAGTGGGTCCTGTGTGGACTGTGATCTCTTGCAGGGGACATTGGCTCACAGGCACGGGGATGTCTGTGCCTTGGTTTTCCGCAGCACTAGTCCATGCGTTGGTCTGTCTGGAATGAGATTGTCTAGGTATAATTTTCAAAAAGGTAAAAAGACAATTCTCACACAAATATACAGTGAGCATATGTCAAAGATCTACTTATTAATAAGGGAATCAGCAGGACAACCAAGCTGGTTCAAAGGAGGACACAGAAATGATTACACATGTGTAATCAAAAGGGAGGAAGAGAATGCTGGAATAAAATTGCTAAATTAGATATAAAATAGGCTAATGTTCTACAGGACAATGAAACCGTGTTTTTCTCTTTTCTCCCAAACGCAAATCATCTGCATCTCCACTAGACAATAGTTATTTACATTTTTTTTAGGTTTCTGCAAGTTAGATATTAGCTCAGAGTCTGGGCCCTAATAAATCTAAGTAGTGAGTAAAAGTTGCATCCCTCGAGAGCAGGTACTTAGCGAGCATGAGAAGCATCTGGGGAGCTTATTAAATCACAGCTCCCTGGGCCCACCCCTAGTTTCTGAGCTGCTAGGTCTGAGGTAGGGCCAAGAGAATTGGCCTTTCTAACAAGTTCCCAAGTTGAGAGGCAGAGGAGCCCTAGAGAAGCTTGTAAGGTGATGTTCTAGGATGACTTTGAAAGAATATGCAGGCACCTTTTTGCCTATTTTCAAGTTGTGGATTAATTTTCTTAACAAGATGACTCTGTTCTGTTTTTCAGAGTTCACAGTCCCCACAAGAGGCTTTCTCACCGACACTTGAAGGTTTCCACTGCTTCGCTGACGTCTGTGGGTAAGAGCCAGGCCAATCTGAAGGCATATTGAGTAGTAAGGCTGAAGCTTGTCAGCGTGGTCGGGCTCAGCCCCCTCCACTCCCCTGTCTCCAAGGCAGCCCATCATGTAAGCCCAACAAGGCAGCGTAGACAGCCCCTCCATGCCTGCGTCCAGATGTCTAATTTCAATTTCTTTTGATAAAAAGACAAGAGCAGGGGATGAAAAGGGAGGTGAGGAAGTCGAGGAAAGACAGAAAAGTTGGGTGAGGCTCAATTCTGGGGCTGAGTCCTGCAGACCCTGCTAGAAAGGCCCATAGCTGGGCAGGAGTGTGTACCTGCGTGGATGGCTGGCTGCCCTGGTCACCTTCTCATTCCCCAGATGGCTTCTCGTGGCCTGCCCTGGGCTGCTGGAACATAGAATAGAGAGTTGGTCCCTGCCTTCATGTTGTTCATAGTCTATGAGGAGACTGAGAAGTGAGCAGATATAATCAGGACACTATACTATAAGGGCCTCCTCAGAAGAGCTGGGGAAACCAAGGTAAGAAGGGGACCAGGTCTCTCTGTGGAGGGGAAAGGTTTGGGTAGGTATTCCACAAGAGAGGGTATTTGAGTCATGCCTTAGAAAGCTGGGCAGACAGACAAGAGGGAGGAAAGGCAACTATAATGCTCTGCATTGTATATTAGTCAGGACCCTTTGAAAGGATGGAAACCCAACTCAAATGACCTTACACCAAAAAATAAATATAATAAAAGCCAGGGCTTGGGATCTCAGGTAGTGCTGGATCCAGGTGCTCGAACTGACTTATCAGATTGTCTCATTCCCTCTCGCAAGTTTTCTTTCTTGTATGTTAGCTTTCTTCTTAGGCGGGCTCTTCACACATGGTAGCAAGTGGCCACGAGCAGCTCCAAGCTTACCTCCCATAAGGGAGAGAGGCTTCCTCCTCCCCTTCCTCCTCCTCCTCCTCCCCCTCCCCACACAGTTCCCAGGGTTGCCGCACATGGCCATCCCTGAGCCCATTCCCGTGGCCAAGGGCATTGAATTCAGCAACAGGCCAAGGCTGGTACACGTTCCCACTCTTGGCACTTGGGGTGCGGCGGGGGTGGGCTTGGCCAGCTCCTTCCTAACTGACGTGCTGGGGAACTAGAGGGGTTTACCCGGTGAAAACTGAGGAGCTGCTGCCAGAAGAAGGGGGCATGGAGGCTGGGAGGGAAACGGGCGCCATTGCCTACAGAGGGGCTGGAGTGGAGGGCCCTTGGGAGGAGAATGTGGGGCCGACAAAACTGTCTGAGACCAGTTTGGAGTTTGGATGCCGCAATGAGGAGAAGGAGGAATCGCCGTGAGATGAGCAGAGAGTGGCACAGCCAGACGTGGCTCTCAGGAAGGTCACTCCACAGGCAGCGGAGGGCGGGCAGGAGGGGCTCGCCTGAGGGTAGGGACCTGCCAGGTGGCTGATGTGATTGTTCGGGTAAGAGCTAATGAGCAGGAACAGAGATGAGGGGTAGGTTGCAGAAATACTGAAGGTAAATGCGAGGACTTGGGGGTGACTCCCATGCCCCTGAGCAGCTCGGTGAGAGGAGGTGTCATTCACCCACCCCATCCAGAGGGGCTGCTGGAGAAGGGGCAGTTCTGGAGAAGGATGGGGGTAAACCTTGTGAGGGGAGGGTTTGTGTCTGTGGCCCGCGATCTTTGGACTTCTCCATTTATCCACAGACCTTGAGCCCACTGGCTTGTTAAAGAAAGAGACCTGAAGCAAGAACAGACTAGGGGGAGCAGAGGGTGTGGAGGGAGGGCCCTGGATGGCCTTCCATTCATGGCAGAGCTCAGGGCAGTTCTGGGAACCAAGACAGCTTCATGACCATTTGTGACAGAGGACCTGCCACAGCCACGGGCTACAAGCTGGAGGGGCCAGGCCTGCTGAGGAGGACATGTCTGTCCCCATGCAGCCCTCTCTGTGGCATTAGGCTGAGGTGTGGCTGGCGGGGTCAGCGTCCCTGGACTGAGGTGTGGCATGGCAGAGCCTCTCGGCCTGGTGCCGAGGATGCAGTGGCTCACCCCGAGCTTACCCTCCTTCTGTAGACCCTACGGGGCACATCATTGACTTGGTAAATGACCAGCTGCCGGACATCAGCATCTCAGAGGAGGACAAGAAGAAAAACCTGGCGCTGCTGGAAGAAGCCAAGTCGGTGAGTGAGCGATTCCTGACCCGCCGCGGAAGAAAGTCCAGGAGCAGCCCCGGAGACTCCCCATCAGGTAGGACAGGGCCAGGACACGCAGGTGGCTGCCCCAGGCCCCTCCAAGGTGGGGTTGGAGAGGTGAGGAGGGAAGAAGCAGGTGCCAGCTGCAGGGGGAGCCTGGCCTTTGCCTGGCCTGCCCCCGGGCCCCACGAGAACTCGGCCTGGTGGAGAGGGTCCTGCAAGGACAGGGCACCTTGCTCAGTTTCAGAAGCTCCAAAATGCCTACCCAACTCTAGCCCAGAAAACTCTTTCACTTTTTGGCCCCGTGTGTGACCCTTGTGACTTCCTGTTTTGCTAAGAAATGTCAGCCCATATGGTGGCATGAACTTAACTTGGACCTCTCCCCTACCCCCAGCTTTTGCCTCCCTTTTCCTCTCCCTGCGTGGGGAGAAAGGCTCTGAGTGAGGCCCGTGTACACAGACCCCTGGACCGCCAGTCTTCCCCAGGAGACCCTTCTCCATCGGCCAGAGCCGCCTCAGAGGTCTGGAGAAGCCGTCCTGGGCTCCCTCCCTCTGAGCTCCAGCCGCAGGCCCCGGGAAGGATTCTAGGCACTCTGGGGAAGGGGAGGTGGTCTTTGGGGGAATTTCTGGGTTAGAGGACAGATTTTCCTAGGCTCTGAAATCCTCCTGCTACCTCTATGTTAGAATCGTTCTTCTGAGCAAAAGGTTGGGCCAGGTTTTTTAGACAAGTGCAAATGTACTCAGGAGGACAAGAGGAACATTTGAAATCAGGAAGTCTAGAAGGTACAGCCTTTGGAGCTCTACCTGCCAAGCGATGCCAGGTTCTCAGTTTCTGGAAGGTGCTTTGAGGTCAGGCCAGGTGGGCTTAGGAGTATGACCCTACTCTTCACCCTCCATCTCCCAAATGACCTGAGGGCTGGGCTGTAGTGGGAGCCTTATATGCCCCTGACCCCAACAAGGCAGACCCAGTTCCCAGGGGTCAGAAATACCTAAAAGGATGTCTTTGTTGGGCTGAAGTCCTAAACCTTCATGAACTCTGGCCAATTTGTGTCTGTCTCCACAGCTGTTTCCCCCAACCTCAGCCCCGGAGCTTCTCCCGCATCCTCTCGGAGCAACTCTCTTACTGTCCCCACCCCAGCAGGTGAGGTCCGGCCACCAGGGAGTTTCCCACCCTGCCTCTTCCTGGGGGTGGCGGCCCAGCCTGAGCTGACCAGGATGCCCCCAGCCTGCCAATTCCCCTTCCCCAGAGGTGCCCGTCTGAGCCACCCCAGAGGAGGCAGGTCTAGCCCAGGATGAGGCAGGAGGGGGAGGAAGGGACTATGATGGACTCTCTCTGCTCAGGGAGGACTCAGGTCATCACAGAGCTTATTTGGAAAGGCCTCTTTGCTTTGTGATTTCTTCCCTTTCATTAAGGCTGTGTCCAGGGCCACACCCTTGGGTCAGCAAGGGGAGGGGCAGGGTGCCAGGGAGAGCAGCTGCCCTCGTCAGCACTGTGGGGCATGCTCAGGCCGGGCTCCTGTGCCTCAGTTTCTTCATACGGTTTCTGTGAGGATGGAATGAGGGCCCAGCACAGAAGCTGGCACGTGGGATGTGGCCAACAAATGGTGGCACTGCTGGCTCCGGGCCTGCTACGGGGGGCCATTCCAGGGAGGCGGATGCAGCTAAAGGCACAGCTGAGGGTCTGGGGTGCTAAACATCGCTTACCAGTCTCTGGACCATTCCAGGTTTGGGTGTGTGCAGTGGCCCACAGTCCCCTCTGCCCGGAGCTCCAGTGCAGGTAACAGGGGCCCCACTTGCTGCACTGTTTCTGCGCCAACGGGTCTCTCCCTTTACCCCCCAATACCCAGGGGGCCCTCCTGACCCACTGGAGATGAGGGTGCTGGGGGTGGAGGCGTTTACACCGCTGCTAGGGCCTCCTTGAGGGTATGTCAAGAGGAAATGTGGTCTCTCCCCATTGCTGACTGACTTGTGTTTACTTTCTCCAACAGAGGGGGGATGAGGCCGAAGTCTCTTCACCTCAGCTCGGCGAGCCTGTGAGTTGGAGCTTTGCCCAATTTAGATGACTTGGGTGTGGGAGACACAGTCTCCCAGAAGTCCAGGGTGGCCCCTGGGCAGCCCGTGCGTGTGTGCACGTGTGTGTGCGCATGCGTGAGTGGAGGGTCAGGCTGGGTAAACCAGCAGACTGCTCTGCCCCATCGTGACTAGAGGTCTGAAGTGGAGGGGTGGAGAGGCAGGATGTAGTGGGGGTGACCTCCATGGGGGTAATGCTCACAGCCCTGCTCCCAGTCTCTGCTGGTCAGAGATAAGGTGGACCTCCAGGCCCAGCAGCCCCCGTCAGCGCCAGAGAAAATGGCAGGAAAGCGCCAGCCCCTGGTTGGGATTCTGCCTCGGCCAGCCGGGAAAGCCTCATCCTTGTTGATGAGCAATAGAAGTGCCGGCACCTGCTCAGAGCCAGGTGCCCTCGTGCCTGAGGTGTGTTGTGGGTCACATTAGAATTCAGTCTCACCTAGAGCTGGGCCCACGACAGAGTTCTCTGGAAGAGTTTCAGCTCACACACAAGACAGCCCCACGCATCCCCAGACAGATCCACACGCTGCTCACAAAGCAGGTTTCCCTTGGGGAAGGAAAGAAGAATGAAGAACCTTCGAACATCTGAGAGTAAGATACTACCTTTTTGAGAATCGCCTCATCCAGTGATCCTTAATGTCTTTTGGATCATGGAACTGTCTGAGAAGTTGAAAGTTGTGAATTCTCTTCCGAGAAAGGTACCCTTTCACACAGACTAACATACATATTTGCACATAACTTCAAAGGGTTCACAAACCCGGGTCCCTAAGAGTTAAGGGCCTTGCCAGGCAGAGCCAAGACGAATCTGGGGCAACGGAGCTGGGGCCAAAGCTGCCTTCTATTCTACTCTCCTCCTCAGCTCCCAGCCCCAGGGACGTTCTTGGCTGGTTTTGAGTTGCAGGTCCCATTGTCCTGTTTAACAAACTTCCAGCTTATTTGAGGGTCCCCTTTGCAGGGTCAGACCTGCCTAAGAAGCCTTCCCCGTTCACGAAATCCACATGTACCCCATACACACGTACAAATGGGCTCCTCAGCAGGTTCCATGGGGGCAGAGGCCCCACAGCAGAAGTAGCCCCACCTTCTCCTCCCCAGCCTGCCTCCAGGGTCCCAGCTTTACCTTGTCTTCTTTAGAATGTCCCCAAAGGGCTAGCTGACCGGAAGCAGAATGACCAGAGGAAAGTGTCTCAGGGAAGGCTGGCTCCTCGTTCTCCTACGGTTGAGAAGTCCAAAGAAATTTCAATAGAACAAAAGGAAAACTTTGATCCTCTCCAGCACCCCGAGACTGCACCCACGGGCCCACCTTCTAGCACAAGCAGCAGTGGGAGAATGGCCCTGAATAGCCCCCAGCCCGGCCCCGTGGAGGGCGAGCTAGGGAAGCAGCTCCCGAAGACTGCCAAGGAGGGTAGCCCTCTGCCGAGAAGTCCAGCCCAGGGCCCGGGAGGGGTGGCTCCCCCAGACCCCCAGGGGCGAGGCCCAGCTGGAGAGCCGACGGGGTCCAAGGTTGGCTCCAAAGCCGAGCTGCGGTCCCCTGCGCCCCGCAGCCCCCTACTGTGGGGGGTCTCCTGGGAGAGTGGCCCTGAAGAACCTGGCTCCCGGCTGCAGAAAGTGTTTGCCAAGCTGCCGCTGGCAGAGGAAGAGAAGCGTTTTGCAGGCAAAGCCAGTGGCAAGCTGGCCAAGGCGCCTGGACTCAAAGACTTTCAGATACAAGTGCAGCCCGTGCGGATGCAGAAACTGACCAAGCTCCGAGAGGTGAGTTGGGGATGGTGGGAGCAGGACCCCTGGGCCAAAGACCTCTGGGCTGAGCCTGGGCCCTAGGGCAGGGCAGCTCTGGCCTGGACTTGGGCCTTCCAGGGCCCTAAACTTCCCCACCCTGAGAAGTCAGGCCCTGAGTGGCATTACCTCTGTAAAAACCAGTGTTAGGTGCTTCTTACCCCAGTTATCAGGTAGACGTCAACCTGGGATAGAGTTGCCACCCAAAGCCACATTTCAGGGGAGGGTGGCTGTGTGGAGGGACATGTGGACCCTTCATGCCTGGGCTGTTTTCCTCCGCTAGCCAGAGTCAGTGGCTCATACCCAGGAACCCCTTCACGGAGTGCCTGCTCCTGCCCAGGACAGGCTCGGCAGGGGCGAGATGGCCCTTTCCTTTGTGATGCCCAAGCTTTCTTCCCGACACCCGTTAATGAAGGGCTTTGACTCCGTCTACAAGTACAATGATGGCCATGAGGGCTGCTTCCCGGCGGAAAATTTCTTCCAGTGCCCATGGTGTCCTCACGTTCCGCTGGCCATCAAACCAGGCACAATGGGCTCTCACGGGGCTGCCACCCTAGGTAGGGTGTGATTGGGGGCGTCCAGAGATGTAGGAGAGAGAAGAGTTAATAGGACAAAGAAGTTCTGACTGGCCCTCTCTTCCCCAAAAGGCCTATGTGGACTATAAGCCAAGGCAACAGGGATTCCTCAGGGTGGGGTCCGGTGCCCCCGCAAAGGGGAGTGTGGGGCAGGGAAGAAAACTGAGGCACCCAACAGCACTTGAGCACAAGCGAGGGGATTTCTCTGCTAGCAGGAACGCATCTCAATGCTGGCCACTATCCTATTCAAAAACCTTCGCAATGGTCTAAGTTGGATGTTTAGGGGGACCTGGGGCCTGGCTGCTGTGAACATTCTACACAGGAAACCCTACCTAGCAAGAAAGACCTAACTAGTGGATCAGCACAGGGCCTGGAGGGGCTGCCTGTGATGGGCCATGGTCCCAGATCCCTGAGGGAAGGCAGAGCCAAAGGGGCCAGACAGCCAAGGATTTGCCTTTGCACAGGCCACAAGCTTGTCCCTCGCAACCTGACTCCCTATGCCCCCGCAGGTAAGTTGCAGAGAACCTGGTGGCCCCATGCCCCTAGCCACCACCCTGGCAGCTGAGCACCCGGCCACGACACCCCAGTCCTGTGTGCTGAGAGCCAGGGGCTGTGGGCCTCAGCTTGCTAAGCAGACGTGTCAAAGGGCCTTGGCCATGACTTCCACTTGGATCATTAGCACCCTCTGCTGGCCCCTTCCTTTCCCTCTTTATTGGGGGCAAACCGCTCAATGGCTTCGGCCACACCAGAGACTGAAAAATCTGTTGATGGCACAAGTCACAAGGGACTAGGAGCTCCACCAGGTGTTTCCACTTGGGGGCCCTGGACTGGTGCTAATTGGCTTAGAGCAGGTGTGAGCCCACCTGGGCCACATGCTGTGGTCAGCATCCCTTCTCTCTGGGAGATGGGGTGGGGGAGCTCTACCTGCTGATGCCCCAGGGCAGCAATTCTTAGGCCTCATTTGTGTGGAGAGTGCAAAAACTCAAGAGGTGCTCCATAAAAGGCCATTGTGGAATCAAAGAGGTAGGGAAGTCACACTCCTGGGAGTAGGTACTCACTGCCCAGAACTGCGAGGCAGGAAGCTCCAGCCAGCCATGAGATCACCAAAGACTGTTTCCAGGAGCAGTCCCATACACACCCAGGGACTCTCCTGTCCCCAGAACCCTCCACAAACCTCAGCCACAGCGTGGCTGAGCATTCATTTACCCCGAAGCGCATGCACTTATTTGAAACAGACCATGCCAAGGGTAGTTCTTGACCCCAGGACTGTGGCACTAACTGCAGTTTCAGGCACCTGTGTGGGCTGGGGGAGGAGCTGCTCGGATCTCACCCTGCCGTGCCCATCCACCCACCTCTGAGGCTGCTCAGAGTCCCCACCTAAGGCTGAGTGGTCACAGAACTGAGAGAAGAATCCAGCCTGGTGTCATCACCTGAGACATTGTCTTTTTCTTTTCCGCAAAGGAGCACATCCTGATGAGAAATCAGAACTTAGTGGGGCTCAAGCTTCCAGACCTCAGTGAAGCAGCGGAGCAGGAGAAAGGTAAGTGGGGTCAGGCGGATGCTCCCTCAGGCCAGGGCTGGATGTGTCTGGCCAGATCAAGGAAGGTCGATGTGTAAACACGAGGCTTCCCGTCAGTGGCCTTTGTCCATCCCAGTGGTGAGCGTGGGCTGGACACAGAGTGGGCCCTCAGTAAATATTTGCAGATGCACAAATGAATCATCACATTTGCTGCCCACTCAGCGCACCTCCAAACCCCTCTCCTCCCAACCAGGCCCCAGGTGGGCCCTGCCAGCCTTCCCTGGGCCTCGTTGGTATCTAGAGGGTCAGAGGGGTGCCCCAGGCCTGAACTTTTGACACTTCCTTTTCCCCTTATGCTCAGGAAGCTGCCTAAATGGATCAGTTCCTCTTTTCAAAGCATCAGAGCCATCTCTTGCTTTCTAATCTGCTGTCACCACAAAGTCCATACCCCAGCCTTGCCCTGCTGGGCGGCCCCAAGTCCCTTCCTCTGAGCCTGCAGCTCCCTACCACCCCACCCTCCACCCTGCCAGACTCATCTTCTGCACACAGGGCTTGGGTCTCCCCCACCCCCCGGCCTCACCCTCCACACTCGCGCCTGCTGATGGATTCCGGACAGTCCCCCCATCCTAGATCTGGCCGACTGGTCCAGCCCCTCGCCCAGCACCCTTCCTCTGCCCTGTTCCTCGACGTGTGTTGGGCCCTGCTGTGAATCGAAACTATGAGGCCTGTCACTGGCCAGCCAGGTGACCTGGGCAGGCGACTTAACCTCTCTGGGCCTGATCCCCACACACGTAAAATAGAAGTAAGAACAGTAGGTTATCAGGGAGATTAAGTAAGTGAATGTTTGTAAAGTACCTAAAACAGTGCCTGATATGTAATAAGTGCTGTCTAGGCATCAGCTATTATTATCCTAGAGTAGGAGCCCCCAAGGGCAGGAGTGTGTGTGTGTGTGTGTGTGTTTCTCTACCACTAAGTGCTTCCAATAGTGCTGGCACTACTGGGCCCCGAATAAGTGTTTATTGAATAAACGAATGAGACCATGTGGGATGTAGCAGGGGAGCTGAGACAGGTACGTAAACATAGTCTGTGACCATCACCGCAGTGCCAGGAGGCGGGCAAATGAATGAGCTGAGCTCGGAGGGATGAGGGTTTCCACTGGGCTCTTCCCCCTTCCAGAGCCGCCTCCCCATGGCCACTCACCCTCAGGCTCTGTCCGTGCTGCGTCTCCCTCCTGCTGTGCTGTGGCCTCTCCTCTATGAGTCGCATCATACCTGTCCCTTAAAGCAGTGGGCGAGTCCCACCAACTCTGCAGTCCTCCTCTTTTCCTTATCCTCTTTTGTATTTCACTGTCTATATTCCTACTCCCTTGGGGGTATTTTTTTATTGTGGTAAATTTACCATTTTTAAATATACAGTGGCATTAAGTACATTCTCGTTGTTGTGCAACTATCACCACTATCCATTTTCATAACTTTTTCATCATCCCAAACTGAAATACTCTACCCATTAAACAATAACTTATTTCCTCCCCCAGTGCCTGGTACCCACCATTCTACTTTCTGTCTCTCTCTATTTGAGCATTCTAGGTCCCCCATAGAAATGAAATGGAATCATACAGGATTTGTCCTTTCGGGTCTGAATTTTTTGTTTGTTTTTAAGAGGCAGGATCTCACTCTGTTGCCCAGGCTGGAGTATGGTGGTGGGGTCATAGCTCACTACAACCTTGAACTCCTAGGCTAGGACTACAGGTGCACCACGACACCCGGCTAGTTTTTTTGCTTTTTGGAGAGACAGTGTGTTGCTATGTTCCCCAGGCTGATCTTAAACTCCTGGCCTCAAGTGATCCTCCCGCTTGGCCTCCCAGAGTGCTGGGATTACAGGCGTGAGCCACCATGCCCGGTCTATCCTACTCCTTTTATTCCTAATCATAATAAACAAATTTCCTATAGTTTTCCACAGTATAAATCGTTTTCCACCTCTGATTTCATCTAATCCTCTCAATAAACTAAGAGAGGTAGGGATTCTTGCTCTCATCTTGCAGTTAAGGAACCAAGACCCAAAGATTGTTTGACTCCAAATCTCATGGATTGGTCATCACACAAGCAGTTTTGAAACTTTTTGTTTTAGCTGCACTATATTGCAGACAAACTAATACCTAGAAGGGCAGTGGGTGGAGGACAGGCAAATGAGGCTGCTCTGGTTGAAGGGGACAGGAGGGCTCAGATCTGTGCCTTTTGGAACTCTCTCTCTTTCCACTGTGGCCCCGAGTCTTCAATAGGCCCCAGGCTTCAGACAACACAATTTGAAAATCCTTGCCCCATTCAAGCTGCCTGGGGCCGATCTCAGCATAAAAACCCTCTGTTTATGGATATTGTGTGGATGTGTCCAGGGAGTGACCGACAATGTTGGAAGCCCCTGGTCTGAAATACGGTAACACCTACCTATTTATTGAACATCAACTAGAAAGTTCCCAGAAGCAAAAACAATATTGTTCAAAAGACTAAATTTTTTGAAAAAATTAACTATCTTTAGAAGAATCTCTTGAAAATATATACTTCTCTACTTTTAATTTTTAATTTACTAAAGCAGATTTAAAACACTAGATAAAAAACTTATCTTAAAATTTCACCCACAACCCCATAAATTCTAAAAAAGTAATAATTTTTATTCTTTCCAATATTTACCCATATTTATAATTTTTTCACAGTTGATTCAATGAATAGATAAAACTTCCTGTTTCCTTTTTTGCTTATTTTATAATTCTATATATTTTGACTCATCTTTATTTATCATTTAATGGGTGCATAATTCCTTTTGTATTGATGTGTCTATTGTTGGGTATTTCAGATGTTTATAGTTCTTTGCCTATGATTAATAGCCCTACTGTAAACAATTACGTACTGGTAGCTCTTTTTATTTCTTCCTTTAAGTTACTCCCTTGGGATAAATTCCCAGACTTGAGATTCACAAGGTCAAAGTGTAGGAGCATTTGCAGTTACCAAATTGTTTACAATGAAGACTGCTACTGGCAAAGACTGAGTGTACGTCTTTCTCTCAAACATTACTGCACTGGACTTTGCTTTTGCGCCTTATTGGTCAGAATATAGTAAAAATAATCAGTAATAATAACAATTATAATGTGTTTTTGTTATTAGTCTGAAATGCCATTTCGTTCCAATTTGTTAAAGCTCAAGCTTAAAAATTTTAAATATTTATTTACTTTTTAAAAACTCTGGTGAATTAGCCACTCATTTATTTGCCTATGTATCCATTTGGGTTTTGGGTTTTTTGTTGGTTTGTTTTTTGTTGGTAATATATGTAAACTTTATACATCGTAGATATTAACCCTTCATCAGCTGTATTTTCTCTGTGTTTTCATTCAATTGTTTTTTGCTTTTTAATAAGTTTTGGGTTATTTTAGAGGAATTGTAAAGATTTTATATAATCTTGTTTGTATACCTTTTCCTTTGAGAATAATTATTTCATTATTTCAATCATAAAAACATTACTTCTCCCCAGTTGGGATAACAGATCTATTTTCTACTGGTTTATCATTTGATTTATTTATATTTATTTTGCTAATACCTCTGAAATTTATAACAAAGGTATTTTAATATTTAACATCCTCTTACCTCAATAATATTTTAATAGTTTTTATATTTCTTTCATGGCTCACTTAGTCAAATGTTTTTCTTTGCATATATCAAAGACTATTTCTGGGCTCCTGATACTGTTTTATTCTGATCAATACCGTATCGTTTTAGTTACTGCTGCCTTGTGATATGTTCTAGTGTGCAGTGGGGTTAGCTCTCCTTCATTGCTGCTCTTCAGGATATTTGTTGATATTCTGGATACGGAGATTTGGTGCAAAATAACAGACAGAGCAACTGTACAGAAGTCAGGAGATAGATTTGAGTTCCAGTCCCAGTCCAGACACCAATTAACAGATACTTTAAATGTGTTCTTCAACCTCTCTGGTCCACCACTCCCATTTGAAATTTTTATCATTTTGTATAACATTTGAATTATGACTGCTCTAAAGCTACACACTGGACTCAGAAGAACTGTCCAAGTTTTGTTTACTTTAAACTTTGTAGACCTTTAAATTACTTAATTTGCAAACATTTAGTTCTCATTCAGGCACATGATTTGTCCCTCTATTAACTTACGTATTTCTTTCTTTTTCCCCTAAAAGATGTAAGGTTCTTTGTACACATCTCCTACATCTCTTACTGGAGCACATTCTATGTGATTTATATTTTTGCTTGTTTATTTAAGAGGAATACTATTTTTTCATTAGATTTTTCTAGCTGATAATTAGTGTCATAGATGAATGCTGCTTGGTGCTATACTAGTATTTTTTGTATAATATTATTAACAAATGATAGAGTGATTACTACAGTGATTAACTAGTCTGATTTTTATAACTAGAGTGATTATTACATGCCAGATATTGTGCTAAGCACTTGACAATGTTTCACTTGATGCTCACAACAACCTTGGGAGGTAGCCTTATTATGTTCATTTTACAAAGGAGGAAATTGAGGCTCAGGAAGGTTCTAGTTGTGTGGTTATTAATTGCAGAAGCTGGAATTGGAACTCAGATGTGTCTAACTTCATAGGCTCTTGACAACTTCGCAGAAAAACTTATTCAAATTTACAATCAAACCATGTCATTTTAATTTTATCCAATTCATTTGTCTTAGTTGTATGCCTGTGTGTGTATGTGTATTTCTGTGTGTGTCTGTATATGTTTTATTACTTTGGCAGCATTCCCTAATTTAATAATGGTAATAAGGAGAACATTTGTCTTGTTTCCCTTTTTTATTGAATTGTTTCTTGTTTTTCTCTTAAGGATCAAGCTGTATCTTGGTATTAAATAAATGTACTATTTTAATTTTATATTTTATATTACAAACATGTAAGATATAAAATACATAATTATTTCATATTTTGTAATTTATTTTTAAGGAAATATTTTCTTCCAAGTTTTAAGATTTGTGTTGAATTATATCAAATGT